TCCAATCCTGAATTACATTCTTGCACGTTCGTTTCGTTCGACGTTGAAAAGTCGATGTGGCGATTTTTGCTACGGCGCAAATTTTTCTGCAACGAAATAGGCGAATCGATTGTTCTTGCGTCGAGCATTCGGTCACGAATTTTAGATTTCTGCTCGAGCGAGAGTTGCTCTCTCGATCCCTCTTCGATTTTATCCTTTATCCTTGCGGAAACGAGAATTTTTTTATCGGAATATTGTTCGTTGAACGAGATAAATTCTGTAAATATTTGATATCTCCGGGTGGAAATGTTATCTCCGGAGGAAAGTTATGCGAAGGGGATCGAGTTGGTAATGAGTTTTGTATATTGTACGAAGTTTGTTATTTGGATTGGTAGATGGTTGGCGAAAAGTAAAATTGGACGAAGAAACGAATTAATGGAAACGTAATTGCAAATAAATCGATCCGAGAAATTTGAATCAACCGAATTACAGATTTTCATTCTCTCTATTTTTCTTTTCTCGCTTATTTTTTGATTCTGTCTCATGGATATATTCGATTTCTTTCGAGAAATATGTTGCTCTTTTCGCTGTCCAAATGATTTTTTTCCCAAAAGATAAATTTTATTATTAAATTTAAAGCTTCTAAAACTGTTTCACCTTTGGCCTTTCGATATAAAAAATAAGCACTTTATCCTACTTTTCTCGCGTGATTTTATGCCTGACAATATAATCTTAAAATATATTATTCATAGTTGTCGTGTAACATAGGACATTTTGGACAATTTTTCTAAAATAGAGAAACTAAATTTTTGATTTTTAGGCATTAGAACCATTAATTACTGTTTCTGTTCAACCAACCATTATATCACCGTGCCAAATAAATGTCGCTCTCCTTCCTTTTAATTTCCATTATTTCCACGCCGGTGAATTAATTAATTCAAAAAGTTCAAACACGCTACAGATTTAATTAGTTAATTTAATCAAACATATACGCCGTGCGATTCGATCAAATGTCGCGCTTTTCCTTTTCTTTTCCCGCCCTTTCTCTTATCTGTTGGCGCGATCATACTCCGATGAGGCAGAAAGTTGAACGATTTTCCGTCCACGTTTAATTCAGACAGATATATAATTAGCTTTTATTGATATTCAGACAAATAATCGCGTATATGTCTTTTGTCTACGTTCAAGATTTCGACACGTCTCAATTACAAGTCGGATATTAATTTCGATCGAGGCGTTTTATTTGATTTTTCGTTCGTGTTTTTTTCTTTAATTTTCCAAAAACATTTTCGGCGGATCAAATTGATTGAACATCTTCTCCAATAATCGATTCGAATATTCGTAACGTTCAAATTAATTCGTTCCATTCGATCATCAAAACGATATGCAATCGTTGTACTTTTTCCCCAATCTGTTAAACATCTTTCGATTATTAACCCCTTAAATTAAACACCAATCTTTCTATTGTATTTCTCTAAAATACAAAAGAACAAATCTTGAAGAAGAAGAAGAAGAAGAAGGAAAAGAAACACGAAAAAATGTCGCGAGAAAAGACTAATTGCATCTTGACCTCTTCGCTTAACCGAGTTGACTCAAGGAAAAAAAAGAAAAGGTAAAACACCTCGACGAGTAAGGTTTTCTTTTGAAAATTTACTTGAAAAACGGCACACGAATGAGCACGCAAAGAGGAATAGGAACCTCGCAGGAGATTAGCCAAAACGAGACAAATAATTATAAATAAACGACGTTTCATTCATCGAGCGAAATATTTGTGGTGGAATGAAATTTCTGGACGATCGATTGGATGGGGGCAAAGGTGAGGCGAAAGGTGGAGATCGAAGTGGATGCATCGGTGTCGAGGACGGGGTGAGGTTCCGTCTGTGGGGAGCGTGTGTGTGTCAGCAGGCAGACAGGCAGGGGATATCCCGGTGGACGTGACAATTTTAACGATAAAACGGGGAGAGAGGGATTGTTCTGAGTTGACTGTCGAGGTTTCAAATATGGAGGAAGCGCGAGAACTGCTCCGCGATCCTGCGATTGTGTCGAGTTTTGAAAAGGGGGGAGGATATTATGCGAAGAAGATTTTCGTTTTTTTTTTTCGTATCGACGAAGCTTTCCTTCCTCCTCCTTTTTTCTTTTTTTTTAATAACAAATGGAATATGGAAGAAGAAAAGTGGGCTTCTTTTAATTTTTCTTACGAATTATCCTTCGTTCGTGTGCTTTGAATTTAGAACGGTTTGTAGTGCATTATGGAAGATTTGCAGAAAATGCGATCCTTTCGATCTATGTGAATTTTTATCGATGAAATATTGTACGAGGGTTAATTTTCGAAATTATTCTTCGTCCATGCTTTGAATTTTGGATTTCTCATTTGATTTTATTAAAATTTGGAGAAAATGCAATTCTTTCGATTTATGTGAATTTTTATCGATGAAATATTGTACGAGGGTTAATTTTCGAAATTATTCTTCGTCCATGCTTTGAATTTTGGATTTCTCATCTGATTTTATTAAAATTTGGAGAAAATGCGATTCTTTCGATTTATTGATGAATTTTTATCGATGAAATATTGTACGAGGGTTAATTTTCGAAGTTATTCTTCGCTCGTGCTTTGAATTTTGGATTTCTCGCCAGTTTAGAACGCTTTGATTTTATTACGGAAGGTTTAGAGAAGATTGGTATCGATCATTAATGAAGTAAGTTGTACGAGGATTAATTTTGAAAATTAGTCCTCTTGCTCGAGTTTTCAATTTTGCATTTCTTCTCAATGTTCTCAAAGTGTTTTTAAAATAATTTTATTATTATTAGAATTTAAGAGAGATTAGAAAATGTATTTTTTCCGATCCATTTCGATGGATTTTCATTAAAAAAATTATTACAATTTTTGAAATTATTCTTTATCCGTGATTCTATCATGGAGTTAAAAAAGATTTCAAGAAGATCGATATCGTGTTATTTTAATATAAAATTATATCATAAATTTTCAAACGATCCGTGCTTCAAATTTCATATGCTTTTTATTCTATTATAAAATCAAGATAAACCTTATTAATAAAACTTTATGTCTCCAGCATATCACCACTATTAATAATCTTCGATCTATCGATCGATCTGCTTATTAAAATTCCAATTCTAATATAAATTTTTAAGTCTCATCGTTGATTTACTCTTACCTATCTATAACGATCAACGAGCCTATACGATTGTTTATACGTGCAATTTTATCGATCAACAGACAAATTGCCCTCGATTAAAAATCAATTTGTATCGCATTAATTAATTTCATCCCAACGATAACGATGATGCAACCTTTTTCTCTCGTAATAATTAATCTCCTCCCACAACAAGGAAATTTAATAAAATTCACAAATCGTTTCTATACCGTTCCAATAATTAATCTTTCAATTAAGTTTTAAACAATGTATTAATAAATGCATAGAAGGGAAATTCGAAACGGAATTAATCGCACGATGAATAAATAAAAGTAAATTGCGCGGATAGTTGGAATCCAGTATCAAGCTATGTTTAGCCAATATTTATCAGCGTAACGGAGGGAGACGCGATTCGATTAAAATGTTGTTTCCATTTGTCATGCCGGCCTTTAATTCGGCGTCCAATTCTACGATATCTCCCTCTCCAATGGATTAGGCCTGATTTGTATTAACGATGATACAGTTTTCACCAAGTGTATAATACTCGATTCTCCTAGGAGAGGCTTGGAACAGAATGTTTTCATTCGATTCGATTCGAACCATTGAGATTTAACCAGAGAGATTAAATAACGTTATTTTATCGAGTGATAAATAATTGGAATCGAAAATAATGGAAATCGAATGGAAAAATCGATAGATAAATCGTTTCCAAATTAATAATTATTATTCGTTGTAACGGCCAACACTCGAACTCGAAGGAAAGATATTATTTGACGGAAATTAAATAAAATTAAAATAAAAAATCCAATAAAGTTGAGTAAACGAATGATTTAGAAATAACGAATGAATTAATAGTGAGTAAGTATAACGAGTAAAAAATGTCTGTCTAAATCTACTTATTCGCTGTCAACCCATAATACTGCTCGTTCTTTTTTCACTTTATCAACGATTTATACCACTTGTACCTGCCTAGTAGTATAAACCAACCGCTCGGTAAAAAAGGATAAGCGGTCGATGATTTCGTAGAATTAAGAAAATCGAGATTAATCAGGAAAAATTGTGGAAAATCGCGGAGATTCGATAAAAAGAAAAGTTCGTTAACATTAATCTTCGAAAATTTGTATTTTTAATCTGTGAATGAGAAGAATAATTAATAAAAAAAAGCGTTATTATTATCTTGAGTTTGTTATTGGTAAATCTCGATCGATACGTGGGAAAATTTCGAGGATGACGAAATCACGTGATGGAATAATCCGTTTCCCTGAAAACTCACGATTCGTATCCCCTTGTTCGAACCCTTATCTGGTCTCTTTCGACGATTCGTACGGATTCACCTCGCATTCACTTCGATCTCTTGTTTCCCGCGTAAAATGGATTACGAAAAAAAAAAAAAAGAAAAAAGTAACGAGGAAATTTAATCGGCAACAATCTGATTCAATTTGCGAGGTTATAAAATTTAATAATCCAAAATTACAGTGTTGGTTTAAAATTATCGATTATTTTTGAGAAATGGATGATACGATACGAATTTTCGGATTATTCAAGTTCTATTCGATTTCTTAACAAATTTGTCCATCGAATCCAATTTTCGTTCAAATCTTATCAAATACGTAAGGCAACTTTCAGTGTTAAAATTTTCGTAGAAAAATTAAAAAAGATATTCTCTGTGTTTTTTTTTCTACAACTTTAATTCCCACTCGAACAAACGCAAACATCGCATCGAAGCAACCTTCTGTGTGAAAAATTTAAAAAATTAATTAAACAAGTTTCGTTCGATGTGAAAAATCTGTAAGAAAAATTAAAAATCTCGTTTTTCCTTTCATCCCTCCCGTTAAGAAAGGAGAGAAGAAGAGGAAGAGAGGGACTCACCTCGTACGCTCTGAACAGCAGATAGAGCTCCCTCGGCTTGGCGTCCATCGGCAAGCCGCTCACGAACAAGGTGCGCACCTGGAACAAGAGAAAGAAGGGGAACGATAATCGAGTTAATCAAGCCGATCATCCGGAGAGAGAGAGAGAGAGAGGAGGAGGAGGAGAAGGGGTTTCGAGGTTTTGCGGGAAGAAGAACTCGCTCCGCTCTCTTGTTTGATTAATTGCCGAATTTAATAGGAGATTCTCTTCGATTTCTCTTCTCTTACGCGGATTACTAATTCTCGTGTTCGATAATAGTTGGTTTGATCGATGGAGCGATCTTGGAATTCCGAATCTTCTACGCATTTTATTTCGTTTCATTCGCCTTTCTCTAGACTTGAAATTAAAGTATCTAGATAATAAATTAATTCGTCATTAATTTTCAATAAAGAAGAATTATATAATTTCGAATATTTTTTATATATTGCTCGAATAAAATACGGATTCATAATTGATATAAATAATTTATAAAAGTTCAGCTTCGAATCGATCATTGGCAGATTGATCGAACGATTCAAACGAATTTCATTTTACTTCTATTCGCGTTTTTCTAGATTTAAAATAAAAGTAAATTAAATTAAATAGAAATTATATTTTCGAATATTTATTATAATTTCTCGAATTTATAATT